CATTATACTGCAGGCTAAAAGGGTTATGCATCTGTCTACTCAAGTGGAGATGATACACTTAAGCACTGGACTTCTGAAAATGTATTTTCGTGTGTGTATAGTCCGAGAGCTACCTCTCCACATAACAAGTGGCTGTATTAGCCAGCCGTTGCATTTCTGCTTCCTCTCTTTTTCCATTCAAAGCAGACAAGTTCCAGAGTGGGTAGACAGAGAATAATGCCGTCGAGCATGCACAACAACTGCTTCCCTAAGAGAGGGCCCCGGGGAGCATTTTTGCAGTATTATGCAGTCAGCCATAACTAAAACATCATTACCACTGCATTCATAGTCCAGACCAGGAGTCTGAACTGGGAACAGAGAAGAGGTGGGTGTACTGATGGAGTTAATTACTGCTTTTATTATTAAAAATCTGATGACTTGTTTTATAAAATAGTCAATTTATTCTAATTGTTAACATTTTGAAACTTTAAACTCTACATCTATTACTGCGGGGGATATCATTTCACAGTAAAAATGGAAGGAAGCTGTTATCAAACACTGACAATAATAAAATGAGTTTAAAAGTATAGCTCAGTACAAGAATATGATAATATTAATGTTTATATTAAGGGTGCATTGAGTTGCTGAAGAACAATCTACAGTGAATTTGATTTATATTTGTGATACCTTATAAATTCAACAGGTGGGTGTTTTTAATGTTCAACTCAAGTGTTTTTAGATTGYGTTTCAATACAAATAGATGATAATCTTGATGAGCTTAAGTTTTACTGTTCAACAAAACTCAGTTTATGGCTAAGATTTTTTTTAAACATCTCAAGATCAACAGTTGAAAGTGCCTATTCTTCACTTAGGTGATATTAAATATTAAACATTAAACATTTAGGGGAAAACAATGACAACGGATAGCATATTAAGATTGCCTGTGTTTTAAATCTTAAATTAAATTAGTATTGTCTCAACACAGTCATTTATTATCAAAATGTTGGCATTTATATATTTCTAATGTCTATTTTGTTAATTCTGTTTTCCTGTTTTTTCTGTTGTGACATGCTGCTGCCTCTTTTGGCCAGGTCACCCTTGTGAAAGAGGTCTGGATGTCAGTGGGTTTTTATCTCGTTAAATAAAGGTTTCAAAAAAAATTAACAAATAAACCTTGGAYGTAAGGTTAAAAAAATCTGCATTAAAATGATCTACAAACCAAACTTCAAAGTGACCAAGAAAATAACAATGAGAATATATTTCTTACTTTAATAAAGTTGTTTTAAAACTAGTGACTAACTGCTTTAAAACGCTGGAAGGTAAATGGAGTCAGCAAAAAGTGAGAGCTTAAAGTGAAAGCTGAAAGAGGTGTGACTTTTAGATGGGCTGATATAACAGTGTCATTGCTTCTTGGTTAATGGAAACAACTACCAAGATTGAATGCATTTAGCACAAGGGCAAATCTTTAACCTCACTGAGGCAACCTCTAAGAAGGACAGAGCAGATA